TTTGCTTTAGATACTGCATATACTGTTCAGTCATGTGGAGTTGTAGGGAGGTAAGTTTAATTTTTAAAGTCATGAGATTTTTGTGGTGCTGTCTAGTTGGGTTGACTTTGTGTAGGGCTTCTAGCTCTATGATTTCTTGTTCTAGTTTAATTTGTTCGCTGAGGCGTTTTTTCTTATTTAGGGTGCTCATTTGAATAAGGTGACCCCTTACCACCGCTTTATGTGCTAACCATTGGGTCGTTAGGGGGGTCGTACATTGTTTATGTTCAAAAAAGTATTGTGCTAGACGGGTCTGCAGGTCAGTTAAAATTAAAATTTTGGGTTGTCTAGTATTGCTTCATTTAGCCTCCACGTGCGACTCTCACATACGGACCCCCGCCCACTTTGGCTGTCCCTAGAGAATGCATGCATAAGTCCACACAACATTGCTAGCTCCCTATGGTCCAACATGGTGTCCCCAGTCAAGTGTGCCCATATGCTACACAATTCCAAATTTCTAGTACATGCTTGGGGATACCGGAGTTCAACCATTATTAAACCCGACACCCTATTCCATTCTGCACCATTTGAGGTGCTGATGAGCATCTCCCCAGACCTAATGATTAAATCGTGGGTCACAAAAGGTATTCAACAGGTGAATGATCTATTAGAGGGGGATAAATAGATTCCCAGTGCTCCAAAAACAATACTCGCTACCACCGAGAAACCTATTTTTGTACATGAGAGTAAAAAACTTAATGTTTTCCAGGTTAGACAAAACACATGATGTACTTCCCAAAGTGGTAGTGAATGTACCCTCAATGCTTTCAGCCAAACACTTGAAACCTCTCTCTCTATGTTACAATGCTCTTCTCCAGGGGCCTGCAAAAGACAAAATGACCTATATTATCCAGTGGGAGAAGGAGCTAGGGTATGAGATACCTCTGTCACATTGGCACGAAGCTATGTCAATTACTAAACGGGCCTCAAGGAGCTTATCACTCTGGGAAGCCTTCTGTAAAATCACCATGAGATGGTACCTGGTGCCATACAAGTTATCGCAAATCTTTAAGGAGGCATCGGAGCTATACTGGAGATTCAAAACACAGATAGGCACTATGCTACACACATTTTGGGATTGTCTGGCCCTGGGAGAATACTGGGACCAGGTGGGGAAATTTATCTCTGATACCACACTCTATAGAATACCAAAGAAGTCAACCAGCTACCTTCCGCATATCATCCCCGGGCTGATACACCACCCCAACCACAAAGTATTGCTCATCATTCTCACGGTAGCTAAGATAAGCTTGGCGTTACACTGGAAGAGCACGACAATTCCCTTGTTAGATACTCTCATACAGAGATTGAATATGATAAGTATTTACGAGAGAATGGTTAGCAAAACACAGAGTTGTGTAAGTAGGTATGTGAGAGATTGGGAATGCTGGACCACAAATATTGGAAAGGCACAGGACAGCAATGCTAACAATGAGGAAACTGATAGGAATAAATAGCTTATAGGACACCACTTTTGTGTGACTTGAATGTCCGGCCAGGCTCTAGGGTTCTAAGGCCAGGGTATGTGTCACAAGAACTGTTGCATAAGCAATATCAATGTGAACCTAACCCCCACACCCCCCTTTTTCCTTTCTGTTTTCCCCTCCCTCTATGTTATCTTTCTATGGTATTCTTATGTTTTAATGAAGCTAATAAGGCTACAATTACCGGACAACAGCATAATACGTTTAAGCAAAGCTTTGATGTCAATCTAGGAAAAATAGTTGTAAATTGTCGTATAGCAATTGTTTACTCTGTTATATGAAAATGTTACAGTTTTGATATTATATGCATTGATAACATTCTCTAATAAAAATGATATATGAAAAAAAAAACAAAAACTCAGAGTTTTGTGAATAACCTTGAGTGAAGTCTAGAAACAATTAGGCATTGGTTGAAAAAACAAACAACTATTTCCTTGTGCTAACTGCAAAGCCAATGACTTACAATAATGTGAAGAGACATACTAAAAATGTATACAAAATGTCTAGAAAATTATTATTGACATGAATAAAATAGAAAGTAATTTAGGGAATAATTTTATTAAACCATGCAATAATTATGCTACACCTGCTTGCCTGAAGTGAACACATGAATAGATAGATGTTAGTTAACTAAGGAGATAATGACACCCAGTGTTCACTTCACAGACTGCAGTTTTATCCTGGATTATAGGATATGGCATTCTGTTTTTTCCAAGAGATAATTTGAAGGATCAAAATTACTAGTATGCTGGATCTACAATGTTTATTTCAGATTGTTTTTTTGGGGGGAGGGGGATTGGGGACCAGCTTGGTAGGTAATTTAAATATATCTTATACACTTTTATTGAAATGTTTTTTTCATTAACACTAAATATTTTCTTGTTGGTTGCAAACTTAATTTTAAACAATATTTTACAGTTATAAGGCAGGAAGAAAATATTATGATAGGACAATTTACAAGCAAGCCTTCATTTTAGATAGTCCAATAGTGGCCACCTGTGCTATTAATCAGATCTCAACCACGTTAACAGTTGTTTTGTAACTACAGGAGATACAAAGGTGCTTTTGCAACCATCCATGATTCTCTACAATCCCACCATCAACCTCCTTCATATTTCGGCATCGTAGAAAGAGGAGTGAAAAATTCCTTTCACCAAAACAAGTCTGTTTCTTTGAGAAGCATTGGATTGGTCAATAGGATGAATAACTGTGCATGTTTCATTTTTTAACATAAATCCAAATACTAATTTATAGTTACTAGTAGACATGCATTTGGTTTCCAGATTGCCATTCGGCTGAATTTGGGGCAATTGGATAAGCATGCTTGGTTACTTCAGGATTTGGAGTTCTGTTCCTGATGCCAAAAAAGGATGATGGAATGGAGCAGAATCTGATTTTTTTTTTATGGAAATAAAATAAATAAGCAGTTTAGTTTGACGTTATGGACAAAAGATTTGCCGAATGATATGGGCTGAATGTCATGTCCAATCAAGAAGTGGAAAAAAGATGGATTGATTAGGAGGCAGCCACTAAATGCTGATTTTATTTACAGATAAAGTTACAAGTAACCAATAGAGGGAAAAAAGTAGGAGCAGCAAAAATATATTCTTCAAAGTAGGATTCTTCTAAAAGACACTTTGACTGCAATTGAGTGAGAAACACCTGCAGGGTCTGATTCATTAATCCTACTGTGAAACTGGCTAGGTTTAGGTTACTGCTGTACCTTCCTAACTGTTAAAAGTTTCACTTACAACAACTTTGGATGGAAGATAGTCTTGGTTATTGATTCTAGTGTCAGGCTGGTTAGGGTTCGGATGTGCCGAGCCATTGCCAGTTGCAGTTTTACATACACAGTGCATTTTACATTGATCCACTGATTCAAAGTGTGGCAACTTTAAAATAAAAAACCTGATTTTAGAAAGAATTTTTGTTTGGATGTGTTCAGTTCAGTGTGTGCTGTGCAAGCGTGTGAACACTGAGCAATGCACTTTGTGCAGTGTAAGGTTTCTTAAAGTCAAACACAATAATGTTACAGTAGTAAATCCACCAAGCAGCAACCCAATTTTCCGCACAAACATCTATTTTCCCTAATAAAGTGTTTACACAATACACACATTCATATTCTAAATCTAGAGAACTGTATAGAGGTACATGCAACTCCAACAAGCTGCTCAAGGATGACTGCAATGGCAATAGATGTGGATAGCAAGCATGGGTGCAAAAATGGACAACACCAATCTTGCTATGTCTCCATTTTTGCACTTATCACTTATCAGATCAAGTTCCACTGTTTCTATTAGCAAACAGCTCCTTCCTGTAGAAGACTTAATAGCCACCACAGTCCACACAGAGCACAGCAAAGGCATCATCTATAGTATTGCTTCATTGAGGGCAGAACTTTCATCATCTGGTCCTATATCTCCAGTATCTTCCAGTGCAAGTGGTGATGTTTCAAGATGGTGTAGTGCTAAATTCCAGCCCTGGAAACTGACTGTACCCCTTTTCTCTGGAAAACCCTACTTCCCTACCTTCTCATCTACTAGATTCGTATGAAAAATTAAAATAGTTGTTAAAATAATAAAACAAATAATATTTGAGTTCCAGAGATATGACTAGCACACACAGGGGCGGACTGAGAGCCTTTGGGGCCCCCGGGCAAAATTAGATCCCAGGCCCTTTGAAGGCCAAATATATGTGCATTAAATAAATGTTAAATATAACTCATAATACAGCATTCCTTTGGATGTGTATATTGTGAAGACCTGTGTATCAATGCATGTTTGTATTTGAGTCTGTGTGAATGCACTTGTGCATGTGAATGCATGTGAATGCATATGTGACAGGTGACAGTGTGTGAGGGAGAAGGTGACAGGTGGAAGAGTGTGGGAGGTTGTGGAAGAGTGTGGGAGGTTGTGACAGGTGGCAGAGTGAGGGAGGGAGGGGTTGAGTGGTGGCAGAGTGAGGGGGAGACACAGTGAGTGGGGGTGACTAGTGACATAGGGAGGGAGAGGGGGTGACTAGTGACAGAGTTAGGGAATGGGTAACTAGTGGCAGAGTGAGGGAGGGAAAAGATGACTAGTGGCAGAGTGAGGGAGGGAAGGGGTGACTGGTGACAGAGTGAGGGGATGACTGGTGACAGAGTGAGGGAGTGACTAGTGACAGAGGGAGGGAGTGACTAGTGACAGAGGGAGGGAGTGACTGTCACTAGTCACTCCCTCCCTAACTCTGTCACTGTCACCCACTCCCTCACTGTCACTAGTCACCCCCTCCCTCACTCTGTCACTAATCACCCCCTCTGTCCCTAGTCACCCTCTTCCACACTCTGTCACTAGTCACCCCATCCCTCTCTCTGTCACTAGTCACTCCCTCCCTAACTCTGTCACTGTGAAGGAAGGAAGGGGTGACTGGTGATAGAGTGAGGGGATGACTGGTGACAGAGTGAGGAAAGGGATGACTAGTGGCAGAGTGAGGGAAGGAAGGGATGACTGGTGACAGAGTGAGGGAATGACTGGTGACAGAGTGAGAGAGGGGGTGACTAGTGACCGAGTGAGGGAGCGAGTGGGTGACTAGTGACAGAGTGAGGAAGGGGGTGACACAGTGATAGTCACCCCATTCCTCCCTCTGTCACTAATCACCACCTCCCTCACTCTCACTAGTCACCCCTTCCCTCTCTCACTCTGTCACTAGTCACACCCTCCCTCTCTCTGTCACTAGTCACACCCTTACTGTCACTAGTCACACCCTTACTCACTGTCACTAGTCACACCCTCCCTCTCTCTGTCACTAGAGTGAGGGGTGACTAGTGACAGAGTGAGGGAGGGGTGACTAGTGACAGAGTAAGGGGATGACTGGTGACAGTGAGGGAGGGGGTGACACAGTGATGGAGGGAGGTGGTGACTAGTGACAGAGTGAGGGAGGTGGTGACTGTCCCTAGTCACCACCTCCCTCACTCTGTCACTAGTCACCACCTCCTTCTGTCACTAGCCACCCCCTCCGTCCCTTACCCTGTCACTAGTCACCACCTCCCTCACTCTGTCCCTAGTCACCCCTCCCTCTGTCACTGGTCACCCCCTTCCTCACTCTGTCACTAGAGTGAGGGGGTGACCAGTGACAGAGTGAGGGAAGGGGTGACTAGTGGCAGAGTGAGGGAGGTGGTGACTGTCCCTAGTCACCACCTCCCTCACTCTGTCACTAGTCACCACCTCCTTCTGTCACTAGCCACCCCCTCCGTCCCTTACCCTGTCACTAGTCACCCCCTAACTCACTCTGTCACTAGTCGTTCCCCTCTCTCACTCTGTCACCAGTCATTCGCTCACTCTATCACCAGTCACCCCTTCCTTCCCTCACTCTGCCACTAGTCACCCCTTCCCTCACTCTGTCACCAGTCATCCCCTCACTCTAGTGACAGAGTGAGGGAGGGTGTGACTAGTGAGGGAGGGTGTGACTAGTGAGGGAGGGTGTAACTAGTGAGGGAGGGGGTGACTAGTGACAGAATGAGGGAGGGGGTGACTAGTGACAGAATGAGGGAGGGGGTGACTAGTGACAGAGGGAGATGGTGATTAGTGAGGGAGGGGGTGACTAGTGACATAATGAGGGAGGGGGTGACTAGTGACAGAGTGAGGGAGGTGGTGACTGTCACTAGTCAACCCATCCTTCCCTCTGTCACTGTGTCACCCCATCCCTCCCTCTGTCACTAGTCACCCTCTCCCTCACTCTGTCACTAGAGTAAGTGGGTGACTAGTGACAGAGTGAGGGAGGGGGTGACTAGTGACAGAGTAAGGGAGGGAAGGGGTGACAGAGTGAGTGAGGGAAGGGGTGACTAGTAACAGAGTGAGGGAGGGGTTACTAGTGACACAGTGGGGGGGTGACTAGTGACAGTAGGGGGGTGACTAGTGACAGTGACGGGGTGACTAGTAACACAGTAGGTGGGTGACTAGTGACAGTGGGGGGGTTGACTAGTGACAGTGGGGGGGTTGACTAGTGACAGTGAGGAGGGGGTGACTAGTGACAGTGAGGGAGGAGGTGACTAGTGACAGTGAGGGGTGACAAGTGACAAAGTGAGGGAGGGGGTGACTAGTGACAGTGAGGGGTGACAAGTGACAGTGGGGAATGACTAGTGACAGTGAGGGGCGACTAGTGACAGAGTGAGGGGTGACTAGTAACAGTAAGGGGTGACAAGTGACAGAGTGAGGGGTGACAATTGACAGAGTGAGGGGTGACTAGTGACAGAGTGAGGGAGGGGGTGACTAGTGACAGTGAGGGGTGACTAGTGACAGTGAGGGGTGACTAGTGACAGTGAGGGGTGACAAGTGACAGAGTGAGGGAGGGGGTGACAAGTGACAGGGAGGGGTGACAAGTGACAGTGTGAGGGAGGGGGTGACTAGTGACAGTGAGGGGTGACTAGTGACAGAGTGAGGGAGGGGGTGACTAATGAGAGTAAGGGAGGGGGTGACTGGTGACAGAGTGAGGGAGGGGGTGACTAGTGGGGGGTGACTAGCATTGGTGAGGGGGGGGTGACTAGACAGTGGGGGGGTGACTAGTGACAGTGGGGGGGGTGACAGACAGTGAGGAGGTGATTAGTGATTGCAATTAGTGACAGTGAGGATTAGTGACAGTAGTACTAGACGGGGAGAGGGGTACCTAGAGCCTACCTGTCTCTCTGCTCCTTGTGGTGACAGAGTGAGGGAGGTGGTGACTGCTGCTCCTTCCCCTCACTGGGCTCTGTGTGTGAGAGGAGTAAACAGGAAGTGAGGTCACTTCCTGTCCCGCCTCTCCCATCACACGAGCACCGCGGGACTGGAAGCAGGAGACCTGGCAGAGAGGGAGAGGAGGTGAAGCTGCCAGGTCTCATGGGAAGGGGGGGGGTGAATTTAGAGAGCGGTAGGTTGTGGGGCCCCGTGCTGCATCAGGGGCCCCACAACCTATCATTTAAATAGTTTTATTTATTTTTTCGTTCCAGCTGGAGAGATCTCTGATCTGATCTCTCCAGCTGGAGCATGGCTGTGCGGCCGGGCCCCTGACTGTCTCGGGCCCTCGGTCCGTGACCGATATGCCCGAGTGGTCAGTCCGCCCCTGTACTCCTCTTCACTGGACGAGATTGGCTCCAAATCCAGGTAAGATGAAGTTTGTCTGTATTCATCGTCAGACTGATCTGAATCCATGCTGAAGTTTTCCCCTCTTGATCTCTTAATCTTGTGGGATTCAGCAATTCCTTCAACCACTGCCTGCTTAATCCATTAAGCAATATCCTTGGCTGAGGAGGTAGAGGCTTGCCGTGACCTCTGGTGATCAGATTCTCCTGCGGCCATGTTTAAGCATTTTCTGCAGAGCCTGCAGTTATCCAAAGGCCTTGCTCCACATCCAGGGCAGGCTGCCGGCTTCTCCCTTCTCCTCGATGGGGATCTGGGACAGGACCGGTCACGAGGGCTGTAACATACAGAAGTCATAAGACTGTACCCTCTGTGCACTCTTTTTAGTAACGTGAAGAAACCAAGAAAAAATATTGCTCACCTATGACCTATAGCAGATCTCGTTGATCTTGCAGAAGGGGATGAAGGATCCATACTGACTGTAGGGCTAAGAATGGTAAAATAATAAGAAAGTATTCCCAGCCCAATATTATGCTGATTTTAAAATATAAGTAATTCTCTTACCTGCAGAGCTTTAAGAACAGTCTACTAGAGCACTGTATCTTTAAAGGGAACGGAAACGAGCGTTTTTTAAGCTAAATACCGCCATTTCAAATTTCCCGCTCTGTACCTTTAAATGATCGCGCATGCGCACTTCGGTCCCGAGATCGCTAAACCGCCATTTTGGAAAGGGGCAAACTTCACTCTGGGTCCGGTCGGATGCATTGCGCATGCGCGGGCGTCTTACCGTTATGCTGATCGTCTGATCGAGGTCTGCAGCACACACTGGACGGCAGAGGATTCCCATAGCCTGTGGAACTAACCACCCAGGCTCCCAGGGGTTCCCAACTCCATTGAGATTGGGCTACATGTGCCTGGGCTTCCTGAGGAGGGAGGCTGACCTCCAAAGGGACAAGACCATATAAAACATGGTCAGGTGAGCAAAAAATAAAAAATAATTCAGAAGAAACTGAAAAAAGAAAAAAAAATATTTAAACTGTCCTAGGGCTAGGAGGACAGGAAAAGACTGAGGTATGGGGGATACTGGGGTACCTAATATACTAGGGGAAGGTAGGCTTAATTGTTTAATTGATTGTGTTTCCTGTCCTGAGGGTTGGAGGGAGGAGCTAAACCCATATGTTAAATGCTGCCATGATTAGCCAGGAAATACTGACATACACCATCTACTGTGAGTTTTATGGTGTGGTGTTGCATTCTATACCAAGGATCAGCAATATCTTTCCGTATGAGGGCTGGATACCATGACAATGTATGGGTGGCAGGGGCGGGCTGGGCCGGGGGGCAGGGAGGCAATTGCCCCCCAGGCCGCCCTAAATTCCTGTAAGGCCGGCCGCGGCGGGCCGGCCCTTTAAATACTGCAGCCGTCTGAGCGCTCTGTTAAGAGCCTCAGGCGGCTGCAGCTTCTCCCCTCCCCTCCCCTGTAGCGTGGCCGAGCTGCACTCCGGTCCGCGGTGGCCGGCCGGCCGGAGTGATAGGAGGGTGCACACTGAGTGTGCACTTCCTGTCAGTCCGGCCGGTTACAGGAAACAGAAACCCCGCGCGGAACAGGAGTTTCTGTTTCCTGTAACCGGCCAGACTGACAGGAAGTGCACACTCAGCGTGCACCTTCCTATCACCC